CGGTACACTAAGTGAAATAAGCCAGATCCGGAAGGTGGTGTGTTACATGATTCCATTTATAGAAATACCCAGAATAAGCGAGTCCACAGAGACAGAAAGCAAATGAGTGGTTGCCAGGGGCTAGGGGAAGGAGGACTAGGATGTAACTGCTTTATAGGTGTGGAGTTTCCTTTTGTTGGGACAAAAATGTTTTGAAACTGGAGAGAGATGACGGTTGCACAGCGTTGCAGATCCCCTGAATGCTGCTGAATTGTGTGTTGTCAAGAAAATGAAGACACTTTGCACAGACTGGGTGACAACGTTTGCAAGTCATGTATGGCTGATTAAGGGCTTACATCCAGAATGTATGAAACAGCCTTACGACTCAATAGTAAGAGGACAAACAGCCCGAGGAGAGGTAGGAAAAGGATTCAAATCGATGCCCCACCAAGTGGCTAATAAGCACTTGAAAAGTGGCTCAATGTCATGAGTCATTAAGGGAATAGAAATCGAAATCGCAGCGACACATCTCTGCCTACTCACTCACACAGCGATCGTGTGGAAAATGACACCAGTGCGCGGTGGCCAGGATGTGGAGAACACAGGAACTCTATCCATTCATTGCTGGTGGAACGCTAAATGGTAATAGCTACTCAGGAAAACAGGCGACTTCTTAGGAAGTCCAACATACTCTTACCGTGAGAACCAGCAATTCACTGCTAGGAATCTATGCAAGAAAAATGAAAATAGATGTCCACACAAAGGCTGGTACATAGTGTTCATGTAAATACTCTCCATAACAGCCCCAAATCAGAAATCATCTAAATGTCTATCAACTATCAAGGCAAACCAAACTGTGGTGTATCCTTGCAAAGGGATACTAGCCAGCCCAGTGGCGCAGCGGGTAGCACGTGGAATACCTGTTATAAGGAATACGCTTCAGTAGTAAACCTGCCTGAGTATAGCAAATATCCCTACTAACACAGTTAAAAAAGAAAATATTACGCCGAGCAAAAGAGCCCAGGCACAAGAGGCCCCGGGTGGTGTGACTGCATTTCCAGCAGGGGTTTCCAGGAGCTGGGAGCCTGACCAGGGACACAAAGGAGGCCCAAGGGAACTGTGGGAGGCTCCGGAAAGTTCCTAAAACTGAATTGTGGCCGTGGCTCACAATTGTATAAATTTATTAAAAATCATCTGCTATACCCCCAGAATGTATGGATTTTATCAGACGTAAAGTATATCTCAATAGAGCCGCTTTAAAATTTTTAAAAATTAAACACCTAATTCCACAGGTTTAGGAAAAGAACAAACTAATCCTAAGGAAAGAAACAAACAAATGGGTAAGGGTAAGGGCAGAATTCAGAAACAGAAAAGTAATACAGTAACAATCCACCCAAGATCTGGTTCCTGGGGAAAGAGAAGAAACTGGACAAACCATCAGTTGCCCTGATAAAGAAATAAGGGGACAGAATAAATGTCTGACACAAGAACTGTGGACACAATAACCCGAGATGTGGGGGAACTCGAGTAAGCGTGCCTCCATTTCTCTGCTCTGTGCTGGGCAAATGGATTTGGAAACCACGACCCGGTGGATGACTTTCTAGGAAAACAGAAATGAGCAGGACTGGGCCCACGAGAGACTCAAAGATCAGAGACTTTCGGTTACCATGGAAAACGGTGAAAAACTTGGTAAAACATCATTCAGCCAGAGACATCCAATCCCAGTGGTTTCACAAGTGGCCAGAGAAGAGAGCTACTGTGTGCCAACTGCTCTAGAGAAAGAAGAGAACCTTCAGATGGGTAAAGCCACCGCCTGCAGTGACGGCATCCCTTAGGGGCGCCGGTTCAAGTCGCAGCTCCTCCACTTCCGATCCAGCTCTCTGCTGTGGCCTGGGAAAGCAGTAGAAGATGCCCCAAGTCCTTGGGCCCCTGCACCCATGTAAGAGACCCAGAAGAAGCTCCTGGCTCCTGGCTTCAGGTCGGCACAGCTCCGACCATTGTGGCCATCTGGGGAGTGAACCAGTGGATGGAAGACCTCTCTTTCTCTCTGCCTCTGCCTGTCTGTAACTCTGCCCTTGAAACAAATAAATCTTAAAAAATATGATTGTATCCACAAATCACATTGTATCTGTTAAAAACTAATTAAAAGTTAAAATGAAAGGAAAAAGAAATTAACAAGAGCTGGGCCAGAGTTTAAAAAAATGAAGTTGTTTAAAAAAAGGAAGAGTTCTGCAACATTAGGAAGTTCATTATTACAGAAATAGTTCATCTTCATAGACGATAGACAGCTACTGGTGAAAATACAATTCCATTCTGATTTTTGAAATTTGGACAACATGAAGAGAAGCACTTCTGTAAGGTGCTAAATTAGAAACCAGACCCTGTGTTCATTGGAGAAACATTCAGCGTCTCTCCATATGATGTGGAGTAAGACACACTCACCCATTACCACCCCTGCTGTTTAGTATCACACCGAGGAATGAGCTGTGCGACTGCACAGGCATGGAGGCCGACTGCAAAACCGGAAACATCATCACCGAAGATGATTGCAAAGCTGTGGGCAACAGTGGGACGATTCACGGTGCTGAGTGGGCACAAAAATCATTGAAAAGTCAACCTCCAAGAACAGCATGGATACAGCAACCCCGTAAGTCTGACCCAGGGAAAGATTCTATTTACAGTGGAACTCAAAAAGATGAGACACCCAAGACTATAATAAACACAAAATCCATACGAAGAAAATTTAGAAAACCCAAGGGCACAAAGAAAGACTTGAATCAGTGAACATACATTTCTTCATCTTGGATAGAAAGAGCCATTTACGTTCCTCCCTGAATTAATCTACAAATTTAGTATAATTTCAATGAAAACACCAACAGAGGGTTTATTTGCTTTTTGTTCATTCTTGTTTTGATTTCCAGAACTAAACTGAATGATCTTGCTCTTCTGTTTGCCTTTCCAATGATAAACTCAAAATTTCTTTAAAAAAAAAATTTGAGAGCAAGAGAAGGAAAGGGGAGAGAGAGAGAGAGAGGCTGCGACATCTGCTAGTTTGTCGCCCTAATGCCCACAGAGGCCAGGGCTGGGATGGGCTGATCCCGGTCTCCCACACACAGGGGCAGGGACCCAGTGACTTGCATCACCAACGCCGCCTCCCAGGGTCTGCATTGGCAGGAAGCTGGGGTCGGGATTCGGAGGTGGGCCTTGAACCCAGGCACTCTGCTCGGGGCTGTGGGTGTCTTAAGCAGAAAAACTTCTTAAGCAATGAAAATAGATCAACAACTCGAAGGAAAGACAGTCAAAGCACTGAACAAGGAGTCACAGAAAAGGAAAACAAATGAAGATTAGAAGGAGAGAGATTTCAGCGTGTCCCTAACAGACAAGTAGGGAGAGTCTGTCAAATGGGTCCATTCACTGGACCTTCCCCATGGCTCAGTTAACAGGTCCAAAGCACTCAGAACAGTGTCCAAACAGTGGTCAGATCACATGGTCACCACTCGTGGAACCCAGTTACTATCATTATCCTTAGTAAGGATAATTGCAGTATTGGGATTTATAGCACCCATACCTCCTGACCAGTTATTCATCTTCTAGGAATATGGGACTTAGTTGTGAGTGTGTGTACAAGACGTGGGTACGGAGTTAGTCATTGCCAATGCTTGTAAGGCAAAAGATTGGGAGCCACATACATGTGTACCTAGGAAGGACTGCTTAGCAGAGGGCATTTAGCCTGGGGATTAAGACACCTGCTTCCCCTATCAAAGTCCCTGGGTTCAATACCCAGCTCTGGCTCCTAACTCTAGCTTTTTGCTAATGCAGACCCCAGAAGACAGCGGTGGTGGCTCAAATAATTGGGTTCCTGCCACCCACATGGGAGACCTGTATGGAGTTCTCAGCTCCCTACTTGGGCCTGGCCCAGTCCTAGCCATGGTGGGCGTTAGGGGAGTGAGCCCGGGAATGGAGCCCTCTGTCTGTGTCTCTGCCTCTCAGGTAAGCATGTCCATAAACAATTCTGAACAAAGAAAGTGCTGGTCGCAGGCAGTATGGAAGCGCACACAATGGGCTCCCAGACAGGCATCAAGAGAAAGAGGCAGAGGTCCGTAGGCTGATGAAGAACAGCCTTCAGCATGCTGCTCAGTAGAGGGAAAGATACGCACGGAGCAGACCCCTGTGCTGTAGCACTGCTTGTGTGAAGAGCTGGGCGTTCTTGAATAAGCATTGAGTATCTGATCAGAGACACAGGAATCCCCTCATCACTCTGGCTGTAGCCTCGTCAGTGGTTTATTTGCTTATTTTGGTCAAGTGTCTATTCCCCATGGAAGGGTAAATGCCCTTTCTCAAGAGTCAGGAATTTACAGTGAAAACGCTCATTCTTTGCAGGAAACCAGCTGCTTCTACGTCACTTGAGTCTGACTTAAATCCTATTCCCAAGCTTCCATCTCTGCACACAGTGTAGGAGCGCTCCCCTGTGCAGGAGACATCCCCTGCCTCACGAGAGACAGAAGCAACACAGCAAAGCAAACTGCACGTGCAGGTTGCCCTTATCCCAAAGTCCAGGAATTCATTCTCCCTCTGATTCAGCACGGCTGGTACTGGTGTGGACTGCTGGGCGCTAGCACCACTAGGCTGTGTCAGGACCCACGGAATTCTCGTGCGCCCCCTGTGGCAAGAGGCTGATATAACAACCAGGCCCCCTCTGTGGAGCTACCCCAGTGGTGTTCCCTGGGTGTTGTGCCCAAGAATTTTCAATAGAGGGCGCTGATGAAACAGCCCTGTGGGAGCTGCCGTGTTTTTCTAGCTGAAGATGCTAAGATGTGGATTTGTACAGAAGCAAATACAAAAGCAATCAAAAACACTTAAGGTGCATACTTGTGGACTTATTGTAGTTATTATCCTTTTTTTTTTTTTTTAAATCCTGAATCCTGGTATTCTATATGAAAGGGACAAAATTCCTGCAAAGAACTTGGGGTATATTTAGCCAGGTCCTGTCTCACCTGGGCTTCTGTGGTTTCATGTTCCAGGTTGTGTTTCCACAGAGTCAACATTGCAAAGTCTGGACACAACGTCAGAAAATCAGAATGGTTCTAGAAGAGAAGTTCTCACTTTTCATCCTGCAAAAGGCCAGATAGTAAGTATTTTTGGATTTGTGGTCCATAGGGTCTCGTCTTAAGAACACAAATGTAGCGGCTGGCATCATAGCATGGTGGGTAAAGCTGCTGCCAGTGACACCAACATTCCATATGGGCGCCGGTTCAAGTCCCAGCTGCTCCACTTCCAATCCAGCCACCTGCTAATGCGCCTGGGAATGCAGCAGAAGATGGCCCAAGTGCTTGCACCCCTGTACCCATGTAGAAGACTTGGATGAAGCTCCCAGCTTCAGCCTGGCCCAGCTCTGACCATGATAGCCATCTGGGGAGTGAACCAGTGGATGGAAGATCTCTCTCTCTCTCTCTCTCTCTCTCTCTCTCGCTTTCAAATAAATAAATAAATTTAAAGAACTCAAATGTGCCTCTAGCATGAACACAGGATGTAAATGAATGAGTGCATCAGTGGGCCAATAAAACAAAAACATGTAGCAGACCAGGCACTTATTAGGATGGCCAGAACCCAGAATGTTGACGGGCAAGGGTGTCATTCATTGGGGTGGAAATGCACAACACTGCAACCACATGGCATGGCAGATTTACACGAATGAAACTCAACCTAGTCTTATAGTAATATTTGCAGTCATGTTCCTCGGCCTTCATCCAAAGGCCTTGAACATGTTATGTCCCTGTGAAAACCTGCACATGTGTATTGATGAAGGCTTTATGCATAGTTGCCAAAACGTGGAAGCAATCAAGATGTTCTTCCAAGAAGGTGAGCTGATACACAAACAACAGTACACACGGACATCAGATTATTCAGCAGTGAAAAAGGAGCAGATGCATCAAGCCTCGAATAGACAGAGAGAAGCAGTAAACTCATCTCACTACGTGAAGGGAGCGCACCCAGCAAAGGCTACAGTCTATGTGATTCCGAGGACATGATGTCCGGGAATAGCAAAGCTGTCAAGACCTGCTCCCACCTGTGCACGGCTCCCCCTTGTCACCTATCATGGCGCCTCTTGTGCTCTGGGGACCCCTAGTGGCAACCATGCTCCTTGCAGGGCTGTCTGTTGTGTGGGCAGCAGCCTTACTCCACACCAGGGGCAGGTGGGTGCCAGGGCTGCGGCCTGCAAGCCCAGCAGGGGTCTTAGTGCAACCTGGAGAGAAGCACCCCTTCTGCTGGGCCACCCAGCCCCACTGCAGGCCCAGGGGACTGAGGGCTGGGCCAGGGGACGGACTCTGGATTTGCTTCCCCACACCCTGAGGCTGGACCCAAGGCACGACCCACTTGACACCTCACACCTTGACATCTGGTGCAGCTCGGGGTGGGGGAGGGGGGTCTCCTGTGGCCTCACAGCACATCCCCTCCCTCCCGCAGACCAGGTCCCTCGGCAAAGCTGCTCTCCCCACTCCCGGGGCTGCACAGTGGCCCGCAGTTTCCTGCCAGTCCAGGTGGCATTATTCCAACATCTTCCCTCGTATACCCCCCACAAAGACTGCTCCCACAGCCCCCCTCGTCCACCACGCTCCTCGGTGCACCCCGTGTGTGACCTTGCACCGTGTGCATGGTCCCCTCTCCTGGGCTATGCCTCTTACCTGTCCAGTGTCGGGTGCCACACTTTGGGCCACCCACCGACTGTAGAGATCAGATCTGAGTGAGGGACTCTTCCCCAAGGGCAGGAAGGGGGATGGAGAGTTATTCCTGGAACAGGGGAGGGAGGCCAGCAGCTCCTTCAGACTCTGCAAGGATTCTGAACTACGGCTCAGAGCCGGTGCTGCACAGTGCACCTGCCGATGGCTTCCTCTCTCTAAGCGTTCATCCTCTCACTCCACAGCAGTGCCTGTGGTCCTCTGTCCTTGAACTTGACAGCTGAATAGACTTTCAGCCTCCCAAGGGAATTTTTAGCTACTTGAATACACCCCACCGGCCTCAGCCCCAGGCTGTCATCCTGCCCGGCCACACAGGCTCGGGGATCCTGGGCATTGAGAACCACCAGGGGGCAGCAGCACCCAGAGTTCTTTCCCCGACACAGGTACAGAGGGGGCATAATTCTGGAAATATCTGTGATCCTTGGCTACTGCCTGGCTAACCTCGGGTAGACAGATGGACCAGTGCACTGGAGGGGCCCCTGGATCTACATCCGCTGATGTTTTTGGTGGGGAATGAGATTGTGTGTGTGTGTGTGTGTGTGTGTGTTCAGTGATTACATACTTAAAGCATTTACCATTCTTGCTCCGTCCACTCACAGCTCCGTGCACATTTCTTTGGTCCTCCAGCCTTCACGGCCCTTGCTGGTCTCCCTTTGCCTGATTTCACGTGTATGTCTCTCCTCTGCCCATAGGGAAGTCGCTCCGGATGTGGATTTAAGACAGGGCACGGTCTGGAGACAGCCACGTGCATTGTTCCGCACTCACAGCCTCACTTTGGGTTTGGAGACTGTGCGGCCCGTGGCTTCCTCTCAGCCTGCCAGCTGATTTCTGTCCCTTGTGTGGCTTCTACAGGGTGAGGGCCCGTCCCGAGGGGAGTCCACATGCGCCGGCAGGTGCGAGGACGGGCACTGTTCTGTCACCCCTTGCAGTGTAGCTGCTTTCTGCCTTGCCTCAATCTACTTGGTTTGGTAACGGCTTGGTTCATATGTTGGACTCTAAGTCTCTTTAAGCGAACATCTGGATGTCCCGGGTAGATGATTTTAGGATCATTTTTAACTCTAAGTTTTCTGGTATTCCTAAATGGTTCCTCATTTTTAAAAATTACGGACTTGAGGCTGGCGCCACGGCTCACTAGGCTAATCCTCCGCCTTGCGGCGCCGGCACACCTGGTTCTAGTCCCGGTCGGGGCGCCGGATTCTGTCCCAGTTGCCCCTCTTCCAGGCCAGCTCTCTGCTGTGGCCAGGGAGTGCAGTGGAGGATGGCCCAAGTGCTTGGGCCCTGCACCCCATGGGAGACCAGGAGAAGCACCTGGCTCCTGGCTTCGGATCAGCGTGATGCACTGGCCACAGCGTGCCGGCCGCGGCGGCCATTGGAGGGTGAACCAATGGCAAAGGAAGACCTTTCTCTCTGTCTCTCTCTCTCACTTTCCACTCTGCCTGTCAAAAAAAAAAAAAAATTACGGACTTGAGCTAGTGTACACAAAAATAAAATACAATCATCAAGGCCATGGTCTCCACCTCCCCCAGTGTTCACCAAGTCTGTGCTCGTCTGGCCTTTCCAAGTGCTATGCCGTCCATCCATCCCCACCTCCTGGAGCCCTTAGCACGATGAGGCAGCAGGAGGGGGGTGAGGGCTGCAACTGAAGGGAGCTGGCAGCCTACGGGCTTCCCTTTCAAACAACCTTGGGTGTGACCTTGAACTTCACTGAGTCGCTGGGACGCCCCACAGCTGTGGGAGGCTCCAAAGCCTAAGTTGCCCATTGCAGGGTGGAACCTCTGTCCCAGGGCAGACTCTCAGTAGCTGGTCTCAAAAACAGAAGGGTCTGGGGCAGGTGCGGTGGCGCAGTGGGTTAAGCAGTGCCGGCATCCAATATGGGTGCTGGTTTGAGTCCCGGATGCTCCACTTCCAACCCAGCTCTCTGCTAACGCTCCTGGGAAAGCCGTGGGAGATGGCCTAAAAGCTTGTGCCCCTGTACGCACATGGGAGACCCGGAAGAAGCTCCTGGCTCCTGGCTTCAGCCTGGCACGGCCCTGGCCATTGGGACCACTTGGGGGAGTGGAAGATCTTTCTCTCTCTCTCTGGGGCTGCCTCATGAGAACCCCTCCCCCAGCACTGATATCAGTCTTCTAAGTGTCTAGTGGGTCGTGTGTTTAGTCTAGTGGTTAAGATGCCTGTGTTCCATGCCACAGCACCTGCATTTGAGGCCCGGCTCCTGCTAATGCAGACCCTGGAAGGCAGTGGTGATGACTTGAGTAGTTGGGTTCCTGTCACCCACGTGGGAGACCCGCAAGGAGTTCCTGGATCCTGGCTCCAGCCTGGACTCACAGGCATTGGGGAGAGAATTAGCACAGGGAGGCTCTCTGTCTCTGTTTCTCAGATAAATGATTTCTTAAAGATTTATTTATTTATTTGAAAGGCAGAGTTACAGAGAGAAGGAGAGACACAGAGAGAGAGATATTCCATCTGCTGGTTCATTCTCCAGATGGTTGCAACTGCCAGGGCTGGGCCAGGCCAGTGCTAGGAGTCAGGAGCTTCTCCCAGGTCTCCCATGGGGGTGGTAGGGTCCTAGGCACTTGAGACATCTCCCGCTGCTTTCCCAGGCACATTAGCAGGGATCTGGATTGGAAGTAGAGCAGCCGGGACATGACCAGGTGCCCCTATGGGATGCCGACATCATGGGTGGTGGCTTCACCCACTATGCTACAACACTGACCCCAGATAAAACAATTTTTAGAAATTAAGAGAACTAATGTGTTACGATGATATTAACAGACACACACGATAGATCATGATGAAGAGATTTAATTTAAAAAATCTTATTAACGCTGCAGAAAGCATTGCTGGCCTATCAAGTGAGCACATCAAATACTGCAGGCAAAATAGTAATTGCATTTCTATTTTTAAGCCGCTCAGAATAGTGCCTGGCACATGGCACGCACTCCACCTACGGGAGATCAGATTTTCAAAGATGGCCGCAGTGGCTGAAAGTCTGCGGCTCAATCCCCCTGCCCCCCACTTTCCCTCAGCCCCTTCTAGAGCCAGTGGGGAGGGAGGAGGAGAGGCGAGGACTGCGGCTGGCCCCAGGCCTGCCCCGCAAGGACAGGAAGGCCTGCAGCTCCCGGGATCTCAGAGGCACGGCCGTGTGGGTCGGGGGAGCGGGGCCTGGTGATGAGAGCCCTCTGCATGTCTAGAACTTCAAGTTCAATGTGAGACCAAGGGTCACATCCCAGACACCATGCACTCGGAGACCCTCCCTAACCTGCCCTTCTTCCCAGTTGTACCACAAGTGTCTAAAAGGCCACAGCAGGCCTGTGAGACACCAGCAGCCATAATGGGTCACAGGCCCAGGTTTCGGGGGTTAGGGTGCCAACATATTTTGGGGGGAGCCCAACTGAAACCCCCAAAACAGACCCCTCACCCAAGAGGTCAGCCGTGTTAGTGCCACATTGTGCCAATTCCCACACCCACTTCCCCCAACCCCGGGATGTTGAGGCACTGAGGGCCCCTCCCCCTCCTCCCACGGTGATGAGCACCTGCTCCCTGGTTTATTCTGAAAGGGATAGTTTGCTCCTCCAGCCCGGCCCTGCAGGAAGCAGGCTCTTCCAGACTGAGCTGCGTGAGTGGGACGTGGCTGTGTTTGTGTGTCGGGGTTGGGGGGAGGGGAGGTGCGGCGGGCAGGGCCACAGTAGTGCGCATAGCGGTGACAAGGGCAGAAGTGCTACTGTGCTTGTTAGAAACACGCCAATAGCCCGCCTTTGGGCCAAGTCCTACGAGACAGGTCTATGAGGGTGATTCTGCTCCTTTAATACAGGCAAAAGTAACAGGGGCTTCAGGCAGCGGGGAGTTAATTTCTCTGTCGTGGCCACAGCAATGACACCGGCCCTAGACTCTGGCCATCTGGGGGCACAGGGGTCTTTTCCCGAGTCAGAGCTGCTCGCAAGTCCCAGTGGCTGGGAAGGGGGACAGGGGAAGTGGAGGGGACTGGGGCGTCGCCTTCATCACTTCTACTTCTGCCTGTGGGAACCTTGTCCCTCGGCCTCGCTGGCTGTCACCGTCACAGACTGTGGCAAACGCAACTCGTGTTCCCGCAGCCCACACTCTCAGGCGCTCTGCTCCACGGAACCAGGAAGGGACGGATACTGGAGAAAGCGTCCAACAGCAGGGATGGGGTTTTAGGAAAGTGGTGTCGTGAGTTCACCCCAGTCCCTTAAAGCAGCAGGAGGAATCCGATACGAGAGGCGCTGATTAAAAAGATCCGACGGTTGCGTGGGGCTTGCCCGGGTGCAGCCGGGCTCCGTGGGGTTCACAGTGAAGGCTTCAGCTCGGGGAGGTGAGTGTCGGGGTGCTCCACGGCCAGCTGGTTTTCAAGGACGTAGCACCCTCTGCAGCTCTCCAGAACCCGGGCCTGGAAGTACGCCCTGTCTTTCTCCTGCCAGTCGTTGGCCTCAATGTACACGTTGAAGGGGTCATGCGAGTGCTCCAGTTTCTGGGAGCGGATGTAGCTCAGCATGATGCCCAGGGTGAAGAAGCCGAAGAAGCCGAGCACCATGAGGATGTAGAGCGCTTCCATCTGCCCGTCGTCGCCGAGGGGGCCCCTGCGGGCCAGGCTGGTCGCACTGCTGCCCTGTGGGTGGGCCGTCTCCTCCCCCAGCGTGGTCAGAAAGGGCATCACGGCCGTGGCATTGGGCGGGATCATCCTGAGCTTTTGGGGTTCCACTGCTGGAGAGTGAACGTCCCAAGCGGGCTGAAAGAAAGAAATGCAAGCTGACACTGCAAAGGGTGCATTGGTCCACACCCATGAGAGTGAGCACACACCCACAGAGTGTCTGGAAACCTCGGGGGGCAAGAGTGGGCCTCCGTGGTCCCCAGGCCACAGCATGTGCACAGCCCTCCTCTTCCCTGCTCAGCTGATAAACTGATTCCCCTTCTTTCCACTCCCTGCTTTCACCTCCACCCTCCAAGGACCACAGGAACACCTTCCTCGAGTGGGAGGTGTAGCCTACTGTGGTGCGCGTGTGAATTTCAGTCGTCGCCAATGGTTTCAGGTCTCGCATCACACTCAGTCTCTTTCCTGCTCACCTCTGGGCTTCAATGGTCCATGTGTGGTCTGCTCATGAGTGCTCCCTCACTTTGCACTGTGGTGTGGGACCCAGGGCTAGCACCTGGCCACTCCCCCAGACACAGACCTTGCTGTGGCCACTAACTCCACCAACAATAGAAGACACACATCCTCACCAGTACCGTCCTACGGGCATGACAAAAATCATACACTTCCTCCAGCTAGTTCCTGCTGGTTTCCACGACGAGTCAGAAGGGGGCGCTGTCTGTGTGTCCCTGGAGGGCCTGTGCGAGGGGGTTGAATGCATCCTCCAGCGTCCACGTGGTGGAAACTTGGTCCCCAGGGCAGCAGTGTTAAAAAGGTGGGGCCTTGGGAAGACGGCCCTGCCCCGGTGAATGGACTAGTGAGCTGTCCCGGGAGGGGCTTGCTTTTTTTTTTTTTTTTTTTTTGACAGGCAGAGTGGACAGTGAGAGAGAGAGACAGAGAGAAAGGTCTTCCTTTTTGCCGTTGGTTCACCCTCCAATGGCCGGCGCGCTGCAGCAGGCGCACCGCGCTGATCCGAACCCAGGAGCCATGTGTTTCTCCTGGTCTCCCATGGGGTGCAGGGCCCAAGGACTTGGGCCATCCTCCACTGCACTCCCTGGCCACAGCAGAGAGCTGGCCTGGAAGAGGGGCAACCGGGACAGAATCCGGCGCCCCGACCAGGACTAGAACCCGGTGTGCCAGCGCCGCAAGGTGGAGGATTAGCCTATTGAGCCACGGCGCCGGCTTGGGAGGGGCTTTCTTATCCCAGCAGCTCTCTGTGGCACGCTTGCCCTGTCTCTCAGGGACGCCCTCTGCTGTATTGTGTTCCAGCAAGAAGGGCTCTCACCAGAAGCGGGGTGGAGGCCAGTCCCACGGTCATGGTCTTCCCAGGAACCATGGAATCATCTGCCGAACAAATCCCTGCTCTTGAAAGGTAACCAGACGGGCGACAGAAACCAGACGACGGCCACGCTCCATGTGTTTCACCGTGGACTAGCTCTCGAGTGGCTCTGTGTTCGTTTGAATGGAGAGAACCAGCCTGTCCCGAGGCCGACTTCGTATCTCGGCTTGTGCGTTTGTCCCTCTCAGTCCTCTGCCCCATTCAACAGCAAGCGTGGCCATGTGGAAAGTCGAATTTTCCCCACCACCCTCACCTCGATGTCACTACTGGTGAATACCCATGATAGGTCTGAGGATAATAAAGCTGCCTCCAGGTAGCTGGGGAATCCTGTCGGGGTCTCAGGTGCCCTGAAAACCCCATCCCGGTGGCCTTGACGTCACTGGCAAACTAAAATGGGTTTCATCCCTTTTTCATGGTCTGGGCACAACGCTGGCCTCAGCATGACGAAGAAGCAGAAAGAGTTTGGAATTCAAGGGCCGGCGCCATGGCTCACTTGGTTAATCCTCCGCCTGTGGCGCCGGCATCCCATATAGGCACCAGGTTCTAGTCCCGGTTGCCCCTCTTCCAGTCCAGCTCTCTGCTGTGGCCCGGGAAGGCAGTGGAGGATGGCCCAAGTGCTTGGGTGCCTGCACCCGCATGGGAGACCAGGAGGAAGCGCCTGGCTCCTGGCTTTGGATTGGCTCAGTGACGGCCGTAGCGGCCATTTGGAGGGTGAACCAACGGAAGGAAGACCTTCTCTAAGTCTCTCTCTCTCTCACTGTCTATCTCTAATTGTCAAATAATAAAAAAAAAAGAGTTTGGAATTCAAAAGGCTGCCTGCACCCCCAGTTCTGCACTCTGGCCCTGCTACCTCCTGCCACGGGATCCTGGAGAGAGAGGTTGCTTAGCCCTGCTCCATTGTGTCTTTTTCCTCTTTGTCAAACGGGGAGCTACCTCCCCACTCAGTGCACAGGGTGGCCGACACAGCGGGCAGGGGGTCATTAGGGGTTCCAGGTGGGAGTTTACTGGGTCTTCCGCCTTGTTAGGAAATGGCAGCCTGTGGCTCTGGGGCTCTGGGGTTTTAGGTCTGGCTCCCCCTGGCTGACTTCCAGGGCTCTCTGCTTTACTGTGTGGAGGGATCTGTCAGGGATGAGAAGCACATTTGTGTGCGGGTTTTCCTGATTCACAGGCATTTGGGTCTGTGCAGAGAAGACTAGTTAGGGGTTACGTGGCACGGGTTCAAGAGATTCCCAGATACTGATCCTTAGATAAAACCAACACACAGCCCAATTTTAACCACGGGGGTAGGCAGGAATCCTTTGGTAACAGTTCCAAACTTGATGCGCAACAATTTTTTTTTTTTTAACAGGCAGAGTGGATAGTGAGAGAGAGAGAGAGACAGAGAGAAAGGTCTTCCTTTTGCCATTGGTTCACCCTCCAATGGCTGCCATGGCTGGCGCGCTGTGGCTGGTGCACCTCGCTGATCCAAAGGCAGGAGCCAGGTGCTTCTCCTGGTCTCCCATGGGGTACAGGGCCCAAGCACTTGGGCCATCCTCCACTGCACTCCCTGGCTACAGCAGAGAGCTGGCCTGGAAGAGGGGCAACTGGGACAGAATCCGGTGCCCCGACCAGGACTAGAACCTGGTGTGCCGGCGCCGCAAGGCGGAAGATTAGCCTGGTGAGGCACGGCGCCGGCCACAACAATTTTTTAAAACTGACTTGAAACCACTCATGAGTGCATAGAACCCTGCCTGGGAAAACAGGTAAGGCTTGAACTGATAATATAATTTTATTTCCCAAAACCCAGAGTGACCACAATTGGCAAATAATCCCACAACTGGGAGGAGTTCTCACAGTGTAATAACCACGTGAGACTAAAATGATGGCAGGCAACCTCTGGAGTTCCAAACGGTAATTGGTTTAGAAACAGTAACTCCATAAAAAGTCACTTTTGCAATTAGTTCACGCTGGTTGGTTCACTGTCACTTAAAACCCGATGGACTGGACTATGGATAGAGGAAGCCACTCCCTCGAACATCTGCTTTGAAACCTCCCAGGCCTTGTCATAAGGCAGTGGGACCCATGCTCCAGTGGGCTTAGAGTCACTTGGTTAAAATGAGGGTGGCCTGGGGCTGGTGCTGTGGTGTAGCGGATAAAGCTGCCGCCTGCAGTGCTGGCATCCCATGTGGCCGCCGGTTTGAGTCCCGGCTGCTCCACTTCCTATCCAGCTCTCTGCTTTGACCTGGGAAAGCAGTAGAGGATGGCCCAAGTGCTTGGGCCCCTGCACCCACGTGGGAGACTCATAAAATAAAATGAGGGTGGTTGGGCTCCATCGCCACAGATTCTGACTCAACAGGTCTGGGGTGGGGCCTAAAGATTGACAGTTCTGACACCTTCGTGGTGCTACTGATGTTGATGTACAGTGGCTGGATCCTGCCTTCAGAGTTTTGTTTTTTTTTTTAATATTTGATTTCTCTGAAGAGCACAGTGACACAGAGAGAGGGAGAGACAGTGTATGTGGGAGAGGGAGAGAAAGAGGGAGGGAGAGAGGTTAATTCCATAGACTGGCTCACTCTCCAAATGGCTGCAACAGCTGAGGCTGGCCGAGGCCGAAGCCAGGATCCATCTGGGTCTCCCACGTGGGTGGCAGAGGCCCAGGCATTCGGGCCATCTGCTGCTGCTTTCCCAGGGGCATTATCAGGGAGGCGGGTCGGAAGGGGAGCAGCCCAAACTCCAGCCTGTGCTTAGATAGGGGATGCTGGTCTCCCAAGTGGAGCCTTAACCTGCTGAACCTCCACCCTGGCCCCATTCCTGCAGAGACTTGGGCTGCGGCCTGGCACTGGCACTTCTAAGAAGCCTCCTGCTGTGGTTTGAATGTGCCTCCCAGTGTTCATGCGTTAGAAACTTAATCCTGCCGGCGCCGCGGCTCACTAGGCTAATCCTCCGCCTTGCGGCGCCGGCACACCGGGTTCTAGTCCCGGTCGGGGCGCCGGATTCTGTCCCGGTTGCCCCTCTTCCAGGCCAGCCCTCTGCTGTGGCCAGGGAGTGCAGTGGAGGATGGCCCAGGTGCTTGGGCCCTGCACCCCATGGGAGACCAGGAAAAGCACCTGGCTCCTGGCTCCTGCCATCGGATCAGCGCAGTGCGCCGGCCGCAGCGCGCCGGCCGCGGCGGCCATTGGAGGGTGAACCAACGGCAAAGGAAGACCTTTCTCTCTGTCTCTCTCTCTCACTGTCCACTCTGCCTGTCAAAAAAAAAAAAAAAAAAAAAAAAAAAAAAAAGAAACTTAATCCTCAGTGCGATGGTGTCCGGAGTGGGGCTTCAAGGAGTGATCACGGGATGAGGGAGCCGCCCTCATGATTGAATTAGAGTCGTAACCTTGAGAGTGAGTGCCTCATCAAAAGATGTTTGGCATCTACGTATTATCTATCCGTCATCTATCATCTCTCTGTCTCTCTACCTGTCTCTCTCTCATGTATTTCTATCCCCTTACCTGTCTCCATCTCTACTTCTATCTATCTCTCTCACCTCCACCTCTACCCCTACTCCTACTCCTATGTCTACCCCTACCCCTACCTCTACCCCTCTACCCCTACAATTTTTACAAGAGTATAAAACACGATTTCGCAGCTTTGTGGCTGGCTGCTGGCTTCCTTCTGAGGGGGCTGGACTCTGCAGGATGCCTGCGTCAGGGCTCAGGGATCTAACCTGCAGCCCTTAATCAGTCCCAAGTAAATCTCACAGCCTCCCGGGCCTTAGCTCAGGTGGAACGGGACTAACAAT